CTCAGATTATTTGTTTAGTTTTGACTTTTTACACTCAATTATTTTGACCTTTGGTTTCATATTAAATAGAGATTATAAGTTATATCTAATAACATGTTTATATAGTTGTAGTCAAAATATGTCAATTTTGAATAAAAAATCAGACAAATATTTGGGAAACAATAAGGGTAAAATATTGAAAATATATCAAAATAATATTTTCATATTTTTATTCCCGAAATAAAAGTTAAAATACATTTATATTACCAACTTGGTCATGTACATTACCAAAAAGTATAGTAATGTGCACATGTACAGTGCCACATTACCAGAGTGTGAGTTCCATTTCGGAAATAAAAACATGAAAGTCCTGTTTTGGTACTTTTCTCTATGTTTTAGTCCTATTTATGATAATTTCACCAAACATTCAGGAATGAATGTAATAATATTTATAACATATGTTTTTGAAAAATTTGCTCCACATTGGACAAAAAAGTATTACGTTTTTCTCTAAATAGAACTAAATATATATGATTTATTACGTTTTTGACACATAATTTCATATGATCTGTCATATATGTCCTCTTTTATAATAAGTATTGGATATGACTGTACAAATGAATGACTCTACGAATATGGTTATTAGTAACAAATGTTTGATAATGACTGATTACTTTAATGATTATTCAAATTGTTTTTAGAGAAATTTACCTAAATAGAATTAAAAGATAATGATTTTCTCAATATAGGACCATATGTTTTTACTCCCTCCGTCCACAAATAAACTTCACGTTCACTATTCACATGGTCAAACTTTATTCACTTTGTTGGCCTATTGCATTTAAAAATAACTTCAGTCAAACATTGTAACGCGCAACGAAAAGTTTTTTTGTGGACGGAGGAGTATTTCTTAATGTAGGACCTTTGGTCATTATCAATTAGTCATTATTCAACTAAATGTCCATCATTACTGGACATTATTGTTCCCATTAGACATTTTTAAGTCCTATTTAGCGAATAAAAAAGTTTTAAGTCTCATATTGAAAAATGACTTATGTTTTAGTTTTATTTAGTGCAAATTTCACTTGCTTTTAATAATGACTTATTTTACTTGATTTATGTAATATATCATTTTTCTCAAAGACATAGCATTAATAAAACCTCTCATAGCCAATGTTAGAGTATATAGATCCTATTTTAAAAAAAATATGTTCAAGTCTCGTCTACAGAAACTGATTATTATAATTCATCATGTTTCTTCCATTAAAAAAAAGAAGAGGATTAGTATGTTGCTTAATAACGAGCAATATACTCCGTAAATACATAAGATTATCATCATTAGGAGTATGTTTTTTGTAATAGTCGGTAGTGTTGCGTTTGGGAAACAAGAATAGATAAGCTCGGTCTAACATGTCCCTCTGTCCGAGATGTTGAGATCGATAGTCCCCATTTTACTTTGACACTCTTCTCTCTCTCTCTCTCTCTCTCTTTCTTTGTTTGTCGCCATTCTAATTTAATTTTTGTATGCATTATTCCTATTATTTCCTCCTCCCATCGTCACCTTTCCCCGAGCCACCTACTCTCAAAATGAACTCCGTCGATTCTTGATCATTAAAGAAAGAATGGATTTTGCGTTGATGACGCCGGACAAAGGCACGGCGGCGGCCGCCGGCCACCTGTCTGCGTACAATAACTACCCTCTTCTCGCAGAATCCAAACCCGGCTCCGGCGACCCACCAGGCGGCGACGCCGTCAGGACCGATGGATCTATGCACCCCGTCAAGCAAGAAAGATCTGGGCCGCCCTCGCCATCCGAAGAAGAATCCCGGAGGCCTTCCAAAGCTCCCACCTTTCTGCTGAGATCTGCCGCTGCTGCCAGCGGCGTTCCCGGGAAACCGCCCACCATGCTCAGCTTCTCCTCCGCCTCGGAAGAAATTCCGTTTCTCTCCGCCGCCGAAGATTCCCCTCCCACAAAAAGCTCGTGTTACCCGTTTTTGCAGGCGGAGCAGAAACGGGCCGCTCCCCATTCCGGCGGCGGAGCTACCGGTATGCACAAACGGGTCGAATGATTTGTGAATTCTTTTTTCCTTATTTACCCAATAACATTTTACTCTGTCTCCGTGAATTTGAGGTTATGGAGCGGCGAGAGGGTGGAGCGACGGCTCGCGCGGTGGATTTGGACGGCCGAGCGGACCATTCACACCGCCGCAGTGGATGGAATTGGAACATCAAGCCCTGATCTACAAGCACTTAGTTGCAAATGTCCCAATCCCTTCTAATCTTCTCATCCCCATCGCTAAAGCTCTAAACCCTTACTCTTTCTCTGGCTTAACTTCTGCTTCTTCTAATTATGCCTCCAACTGTAAGTTTTCCATCTTTATTAATTCCCAAACTCTCTAATTAAATTAAATGCAGCTCCATCTGTTTGTATTTAATATTTGTCCATCTTCCTCAAACTAAACACCTTAAAGACTGCAACTTTATTCTCCAAAGGTGGAAACAAGACAAGTAATTTGTGTCCCAAATGGGAAAGATTGACAATATATGTTTCTTTGGTTTGATTCATGGAATTCACGCGATTTCTTGAATATTTGGTCTGTATCTGGTGGGGGGGAGGGCAGGGGGATGGAGCGTTGGTTTGGGTTCAAGCAACGATCCAGAGCCGGGGAGGTGCCGTCGGACTGACGGCAAAAAATGGCGATGCTCCAGAGATGCTGTGGCCGATCAGAAGTACTGTGAAAGGCACATCAACAGAGGCCGCCACCGTTCAAGAAAGCCTGTGGAAGGCCTCACCGGCCGCACTGTTTCCGGATCTGCCGCCCCTTCTTCAAAGGTATCGCCACCTGCTGTTGCCGCTTCTACACCGCCGCCGGCGGTGGTGATATCCTGTGATAATGGCGGCGCGTCCAACAGCCTCGGTGCCTTGAAGCACCACCACCAGTTCAATAATAACACTCACCCCAACCTTCCAAATCTTCCCACTACCAACAGGTAATGTATATTATTTTGACCGAATTAAATTGTGTCAATTTATCTTATTGGAATCATATTATATGATAGATTTAATAAAAATGATATTTGTACGACAGGGGACAAGGAGGTGTCCCTGTGACATATCCTAGTGTGAGTTTGAAGGACACCCAAGAACACAACTACCCTTACAAAGACATGATGGGTTATGGGTTTCTGTCCTCATCGGAATCCGGTCAAGATGGAGACCAACAACATCGTCATCCGGTTCGCCATTTCATGGACGGGTGGGTGGCCAAGGAACAACAATCGACCCGCGGTCCCGTGGAACCGAAACCGGACTGGACTCAGCTCTCAATGTCGTCCATCCCCATGGAGCTGAAACCGGACGAACGCTCTTCCAATTCTACCCTCAGACCGGTTCAAAAGACATCTACAATTGGTTGGGTTCCGGCGGCATCTTGGGGGAACAATATGAACACTTCGTCGTCGTCCATGGGGGGCCCGCTTGGGGAGGTTTTGATAAACAGCGCCTATGGTTCCTCACCGACGGGCGTCTTGGGGGGGTCCACCTTCGTGTCGCGCTCGAACAGCAGTTCGGGGAGTAGCCCGCCGCCCCGGATGAGATGAGACCAAGAAAGATGTCAAGCTCTGTGGCTTGTTGTTGTGAGTTGTTTTGAGTGTCACAACATTATATTGTGTCTGGTGTATGGTGTTGTTAAGTAAAGAATGTTTGGTTATGCAACTTATGTCGGTTTTACTATCCTTTTTGGTACGTTCATTTGTTTGTTTTTTTCCTTTTAAATAACTATGGAATAAGGTTGACTGTTCTTTTGCGTATGATGTTTTATGAGAATCCAAATTTGGTTTTCGGTTTGGTCATATCTTAACACCCCATGCAAATTTGGTGAGGTTTAGTGGCAATGAAACGATATATATATGACTTGAAAAGGATGGGACACAAAAGTGACATTTTTAATATTTAGAAGCAGCTGAAAGTCAAACAACATACTAACTACGTATATCAGGTATATGCCTAGTTTCTCAAATTAAATTTATTTTCTTTATATTTCTGGGTATACTTTCCCAACTTCTGTCTTCCCGGTTTTTGGTTCATTATTTTTTGGCACAAATTTAATTTACTTTCTTTATGTTTCACAAATTTCAGGGTATACTTCAATTAATATTTGTCAAAATAATATTCTCGTATCATTTTTTAATTGGTTGAATTTTTTATTTAATTTTTTTAAAATACTTAGAATATGAGAAAGAAAATAAACTATGAGTTAAATATGTAAAAAGTATCAGAATAAAATTTTATATTTTTTATTTTTAGAATAAGAGTTATAATGTCTATAATGTCAGTATATAATACCAAATAAAATAGTGGGCTGTCAATATACATTTCCATAATATTACCATGCAAATTTCTATTTTGTTATTCTTATTTTGTTGATTTCTTTTCAAAATGTGAATTCTATATTTTTATTTTTAAAATAGGAGTATTATGGAATGCAAAAAAAAGATGTCACACATATTTTAAATAAAAGTCATAGTTCAAACTCTTATTTTAAAGATAAAAACATGTCATTTTCATTGTAAGATGACTCATTTTAAAATGGACAAGTTTCCCATGACATTGGAAACCAATGTCATTGGATGACTCGGGGTATTCCGATGTCCCGTTCGTAAAATTGACGATTCCTATCCCCCCTAACCCTCGCGGTAAACCCCCCACCCCGACCCGAACACACCCCCTACCCCCTTCAATTGCACCTCACAAGTTGATCTTGGTTTTGAAGTCATTTTTGACTCTAAAGTCAAAATCAACTTGTGGGTGCAATTGAAGGGGAGTAGGGGAGTGTGTTCGGGTCGGAGCGGGGTGGGGGTTTACCGTGGGGATTAGGAGGGTAAGAACCGTCAATTTTACGAACGGGACACCGGAGCACTTCGGGTCATCCCATGACATTGGTTCCCAATGTCGAGAATTAGGAACTTGGTATTTTAAAATAACGCAAATGTAACTCAAATACTGCGGCCATAAATTATCCAAGCCGAGCCGAACCGAGTTGAATCATCACCACCGATTCATCTTATCCACAGCTAGCCGCGCCTCCACTTCTCTACCGCCGAATCTCTTCAGTTCACTCGGCACCCGCGGCAACATTCAGGTACGCCGGCAGCTACGTTTTTGTTGATTTCAGAATTCAGACCTTAATTAGAGTTGCGCGAATTTCTCCGAGCGACTCTTTCAACCACATCCTACATTTTTTTCTTCCTTTGTTATGATATTGAAATTGGAGTTGTGTAAATTGTTTTGCTGAATCCTTACTGGAAATCAACATGGAGTATTGATGAAATATCTGAGTGTCCATTGCCAATGGAGATAAAAGATATCATTTTTTTACTAGATTTTGGTTTCGGGTAAATAAAGGATTAAAATCCCCTAGATTCTTACATTTTTTGAAGATTTGGACAGTAATTGCAGCAGGGTTTCAAGGGTCTTTGGACATTTTTTGAAGATTTTGAAGATTTGGACAGTTAATTGCACCCCTCTGTTTTTTAGGGGTAAGGTTGCACAAATCTTGACACCCTAGACACCAATGTAGTTGAGAACTTGAGATTATATGGGCTTATAGTTCTTGGTGTTGATGTCTCATTTCCTAAATTGAAATCCGTAAATTGGAGTTGGAGATTCTCTTTTTAATGCTATGATGTTTTTACTTTTGCTTTTTCAATGTTTTTTTACAATTTTTTTTAGTGTTGTGTTAATCAAGGGAGTAGATTTCTTGTGGTTTTCTTGTTTCTCTTTATAGTTCTTGTTTCAATAAATTAAGAATGTTCTTATTTTCATAAAAAAACAGACTTCCTTCAATTTGAGGACACAAACAAGATCATATATAAGCTTTGACATGTTAGTCATGCTAAGGGACTTGCAAGTAAGGAAGGTGTTTTTATTTGGGCCTTTGGAAGACATTTAAAGACTTAAATCTCTGGGTATTTATTTGAGTCATTTTAAAACTTCTCAAAAGTATTGGGATATTTATGTAGACAATTTACGAGTCTAAAAATGTTCTGATATATTTATATTGGCTCACGAATTTGATGCAAAGAAGTATATGTAATTTAAGCTGCATCTTATATTGGCAATTTGAAGTGTTAGAATGTGAAAATTGTACACACCTTAGGTGGATGAACTGGCATTCATACCCTTGCTTATGAGGGGTCTCAGACTGAGATTAAGTAAAAGTTAAAAGCCTGTTGCTCAAGCTATGTCCCTACGTGGAGTTGGCCTGTATAACCATTAGCTTGTTGTCCTTCGACACTTCTTAATAATGTTGTCCATAACAGAGGTATTTGAGCTGCATATTTACTGCAACGGATACGCCTCCAGCTTACCCACAGAGAGAAAATGGCATCTACAGTCACTCTTTCCTTGGTTTCTCTGATCAAATGTCAAGATCACAACTTTATGCCGTCCACCCATGCCAAAAGGAATCTCCTTCCTTTCAAGTCATCCTTCTCCGGCGCTGCATTTAACCCAGCTTCACTTTCTCAAAAGTTCTGTTCTTTAACAAGTTACTCTTCATATCCTCATCCTGTGAGTTACTACCTTATCCCATTTTCTTTCTGCTTAGTTCCTCATTTTTAACTTTCGAATAGGCGCACATTTTGAAATTTCTTTACATCTTTTGAGTATTGTGCTTGAAACACTAGTCAGGCAAGCCTTCTTCTTAAGTTTGCAGTGCAAGCTAAGAAATCTTCTCTACCTGAGGCCAAAAGTAAAAGCGCAAAGAGCACTCGATCTCAAAGGCTAGCACTTGATTATTCCCAGATTCTGAAGTATCCGATCGTGTCAGAGGCCGGAATCAAGAACATCACGCAGAACAACACATTGGTGTTTGCCGTGGAGAAGCGTGCTGACAAGAGGCTCATAAAGGATGCTGCCACGAACATATTCAAGATTCAGATCAAGAAGGTTAACACTTGTATCATGCCCGATGGGACCAAGAAAGCCTTCCTTATGTTGAAATCGGAGTGTAGTGCAGGAGACGTGGCTAAGAGAATCAAAGCCATTTAGTAGCTTCAGCAGGTATCTGTTATGTATACTAATCATTTATGTTCATTTCTTCTTGTAATGACTTTGTCTATACCCCATTCCTAAAGTACACTTTTGGGTGTTGGGTCCCAAATTGGTTTCCCATTTTATTGTAATTTTAAAAAGTCAAATGAATTTGTCATGCATTCATGTCAACAATGTTCATATCTTAATATGCAAAAGGGAGAAAATTGGATATACCATGTTTAGTTATTTAGTTCAATGAGTTATTTGGTTTGGATTTTGGACTCTACATTTAGGATTATCTTCTTGGAGGTCTTGATCAATTCGATCAAGTAGGACATCTATGCTTTCAATTGAAACACACACATGGATCTTTGACATATTTTTGAATCATATTTTACCCAATAAACTCATTCATTTTTATTACGGAGTATAAAATGGATACAGCTCGAGCAATCAAATCTCGTTTGGACACGATGGATCGTTTTTGAGTTTTAGGTCATGTTTTTTTCGATTGAAAAAATTAACTTCCAATCTTTTTTCAAAATTTCTTTCAATTTCATCTAACTCCTTACAGTTTCTTTCAGCTTCCTTCAGAATCTTCCTACAACTTAAAATAGGTATTTGTATATGATGAATATACAATATCATTATATATCTAAATTTATAACATATCACTTCAAATACAAACAAGGATGAGTTGTTTTTATTCAAAATTAGGATTTTCTTTGATATTTATTCGAAGAATTATTTAATTGAGTGACTTTTTAACACTTTAAACCTTCCAACATTATCCAATATCCATCACCTTCTAATTTTTTTCAAATCCTTCAAGTTTTTTTAACATCTAACTCTAAAATTCTAACCCAAAAAAACATAACTTTTAGAGTAAAAAAATGTTTTTAGATATCCACCCAAAAGCTAAAACTTTGGTTCGCACTTATACATTGTCGTGATGCCTTGTTCTTTAATATTATTAGAGTATATGAATTTTATTCCTATAACTCCATTCCTATTCGAATTAGAATATCTCAAATACTCTTAATCATATGTACTTGATAATTAGCCAACAACATGTGGGTTAAAAATAGCTTCTCCGTTCAGATTTAATCTTTCCATTAGACTTTTTTTGGTCAAAAATTAAAATTTTTGACCTCGATATGCAGAAAATATACATTCTGTTTTGATATAGATGTAATACTATCAGCAATTCCATTTTGAAACGTAGTCTTGATATTTTAAAATATTGATATTGATGGCCAAAGTGTTACATTTGAGATCGTAAAAAGTTAAATAAGAAGATTAAATCTGAACGGATAGAGTAGTATGAGTTAAAACAAAATTTTAGTTGAAAGTAAAAATATTTTTTGATTAAGAATGTTTATTTGAGTCAAATCAATCTTTATATGGACAAAATGTGAATCAAGTTAGTCCTTTGAATACAATTTATCTCGTAAAATTCTGTGTATCAGTTTTTGTATCAATTAACGTGTTAACTTATAATTTTAGAATATAAATTTTACATAAAGGGCTAATTTGATTCACATTTCCTAGTTAGAAGGTCTAATTTGACTAAACCAAACTTATATACGGAGTAGATAAAATTGACTCGTGAGTGCACTTATAGGGACTAAAACGAGTATTAAACTACTTATAATCTTGTATGATGGACTTCATGGGCGGCTCAAAGGATGTGGAAGGTGGCCATATGTACAGGGCCCCCAAATTTGTAGGACCCCATATTATTAGATATTTATTATTTTAATTGCTTGATATTTTTAAATTCAATATAAATTTATATTTTATTATTCAAACTTTTATAAAATAGAATTTAGCACTAATGTTAAAATCACAAATACTCTACTAAAAATAAAATAAGACCCAAGATGTAATTTTTGTACAGGACCAATCTCATATTTTTTTTCATTTTTGGGCCGGCTCTGATAGACTTAGTGGGCTTACTTTGTCAACAATGTTACTGCTATGACTTTTCTTGCTGTAGAATTCAATATCACCAAAACCAAAAGATACTCCCTCCGTCCCAAAATATTCACAACATTTGCTTTTTCAGCAGTCGCGGGAATTTTTTTTTAAAAGATTCAAAAGTTACCAATAAACTATTTTATTTTATAAGAACTGTGGAGAATAAAGCTTCTTGAAAAGTACATCAAAAAACTATACATTTAAAATAAAAAATAAAGTTATGGTTATACATTTATTTTACTTAACTTTTTCAAACTATAAAACAGAACCTTTATGTTTACACCGTTTATAAATCCCTGCCTCCAAGTATAACTTTGTAGATTGCTAGGTGACAATAGTCCGGTCGGGCGGCAATACTCCACCACAACTCTGGTTGGCGGCGATCAACAACTGCATTTTTTGTGGTTTTCTTTTTTGACTTCGAGAATGAAAGCACCAACTAAGAACAGAAAAAATAAGAGAAATGTAAGAAGTTAGGGTTAAGAGATGTTGGTGATTTCATTTTCTTCGGCAAGTAGATTTTTAAGAAGAAGATGAAAGTAAACGGTTTCATGGATAAGTTTAAGGCTAGATCGGTTGTACAAGGCTTTAGACAAAAAGAGGGAATCGACTACTTTGACACCTATGCCTTAGTTGCAAGAATTTCGTCTAATAGATACTCCGTAGTTGATTGCCCTAGCGGATAAACATAACCATGTCATTCACCAAATAGATGTGAAAACAACAATCTTGAATCCTGAATTGGAAGAAGAGATTCACATTAAACAACCTGAAGGATTTGTTATGCCGGGAAACAAGTATAAAGTATGTAAATTAGAAAAGTCATTACAGAGCTTAAAGCAAGCACCTAATTAAGCAATGACATAAAAAATACACCCCTTGAACCCCGCTATATATAGGGGCTGCCGCCCCTGGAATCCCGTTGCGAATTTGTAACTTCGTTGAACGTGTGCGCACTTCGCACCTTATACCTCGTTTGAGAATGTCTATACAAGTTCTTGTTTGATATAAATAAACTAAATCATACTCCCTCCGTCCTAAAACTTTCTTCCCGAGCACTATTCCAACTTCACGGGAATTTATATTTATTTGTGTTTTTTCATGGCCTATATGATAAAATAAAATATTCTTGTCACCACTTGTTTTGTTGAACTTTTGATATAGTTTTTAAATATGTATGTTTTATTTTTTATTTCTATACCAATATTTAAATAAAATAGATTGAAAAAACTTGGGATTTTTCTTCGTTTTGCGCAACGGGAAGAAAGATATAGGACGGAGGGAGTACAAAACAATCGATGACACTAGAATCACCAACAAGTAGACAATAATAACAATAACAATAATAATAATAATAATAATAATAATAATAATAATAATAATAATAATAATAATAATAATAATAATAATAATAATACTATAAGAAATAAACTATTTTTACCTTATAAGCTGTTTATTAGTTAAATATTTTTATAAAAGTAAAATTACTTAAATGATAGATCAGCCATCTGGGTATATTTATAAATGGAGAGAAATAATTTTGTTAATATATAATCTTAAATAAACAGAGAAAAGAAAACATTAACTTAAAAATAAATAATTAAGACAATGCTTATTTTTTTTTACTTATAATCAACTTATAAATTAATGATCAAAGCATTAGATTAGAAATCACAAAAATCAAATAAGAAAATCATTTCGGGATGAAGGGAGTAACATTTAATTATTTTGCTACATCTAAATTGCAATCAAAATGTCACAAATTTTAACTAAAACGTCATTATATTAATAGGTGCGGGATGTGTTATCATTCCCACAACGTCTTGTACATATAAGGCCGCCGTACGGTGTAGTCTCCCTCCGCCACCGTTACCGCCACCTCTTGCCAAGTCATTGCCAACTAGGATCAATGGAGAGCCGTAAGAGAGAAGAAAAGAAGGGTGTGTTTGGTACGGATGACAGCTTCTACTTGACCTGGTGGATAATCGATCCACTCGACTCGTTCTAATGGATATAAACTCGGTGTGATGGATGAACAATTGGGGGATTGGGTCAGATGCAGGTGGAGTTGTTTCTCACCCGTCACCCAATCCATCACCGACATAATTAAATTTACTTTAGAAAAAATTAAACCTTAATGTATTACATTTGTTGGGTGTATGAGTTTATTTTAATTTTCAATGTTTTATTTTTATAAAAACCTAGTTTGTAACTTAGATTATTGTTTCTTTGACTTTAGTAGTCATAAAATTTACTACTTATAACACTCGTACGTTTTCACTCGCTTCACCCGTTTTCACCCCCGAGTGGTGGATGAATTGGGTGGTGGATGATGCATGTAACGAGGATGGATCGAGTGATAAATATAAAGTCGATAGAAAGATAAGGGTGAAACTGCACCCGACTAAAATCCAACCCGTTGCCTTCCCTAGTGTTTGGGTGGACGGGGGGGGGGGGGGGGGGG